CTATAAATAGGTCATTAGGTGTCTGTCCACTACGTGACCTCAATTCTCGTCTACCCTTCCCCTCTGTCCACTCAACTGACCCAATAATGCATGGCTTTATGAATGACATAAACTTTGTATGAGTTATGAAGTGAATGAAAAGTGTACTAATGGTTGATGACTATAATGACTGCAATTGCAATGAATAGCAATGAATGCAAAGTTGTGGTCAGATATTGGTTTACAAACTATTGTCCACTAAATGGTCACAAAAGCACTCAAATTGTGGCAAAATAGCGCCAATGAGTCACTTCGGGGGCACTCAATAACGTACTCATTATTGAGCGTCACTTTGTATGCGAATCGTCCACAGCTTTGACACAATTGTGGGCAAGAATTGGAAAGTTGTGTCAAAACGGGTGAAGAATATTGAGTGGAGATAATGGGCGAAGAAGTGGACGACACGAGTGGTATCTCTTTCGTGACGGCAATCCATAAGCGATACGTCGAGACCTGTATTATTCCCGAAGAAGTGCTTCATTTGCCACAACCCTTAGGAAAGGACAGAACCATTGAATTGATTGGTTTCGAGAAGTCTGTGAAACGAGTGACAGAAGTGATTGTCTCGCGAATGAGAATCTCTTGTTGCGGTGATAACTGTCACCAATTTCAGCAAGTGTTGAGTGGAGCCAAGACTTTGGTGTTGTCTAACAATTTGCTGACCGAGTGGTCAGAAGTGGCAAAAATAGTCTCTCATATGGAGTCACTGACGGACTTAGTCTTAAGTTATAACAAACTAAAGGTTCCCACGAATGAAGAACTGGACAAACAGTGTCTGAAGTCCATTAAGACACTAGTGATCGATAATCTGGAGTACGACTGGAATGAGATCTTATGGTGCGCTCAGATGTGGCCAAACATCTCGCAGCTGGAAGTGTGGGGCAACACAATCACTGAACTCAAGACACCGCATGTGTTGACACAATTGAATCATTTAAGTCTCCGTAACAACAATATCGAGGACTGGCATCGGGTCTGCACTTTGGGAACACTTCCGCAGTAAACATCACTTTCTTATGAAATCACTGTCAAAACTTGTAATTCATTTTGACTTTACTTTAGACTCAAATATCTGGATATTTCTGATTGCAATATAAAGTCAATACATTTCGATGACTCCAACTATGACCACAAGACCACACTTTTCCCACAATTAGAGTCTCTATTGATTAGTAGTAATAAATTGAAGACTTGGAAAGACATCGCAGAACTGAACAAACTGTCAAAACTGGAACAACTCTTTTGTAAGAATAATCCGGTTTTCGATTGCGACAAATACGACAACAATTTCAATCTTATTTTATCGAGAATTGAAAGTTTAAAACTTCTTAACCGTGAAAATGTATACAAATTTTCATACCTTTCTTTCATTTCAACTATAGATTGAAATTATTTTTGTTCATTCAATAGATCACAGAAGCGATGCGAAGAGACGCAGAAATCGCTTATTTGAGGAAAACATTTAAAACTTATGAAACGAGTAAAACTTTAAGCGAAGAGAAATTGCATGAATTTATGACTGAAAATCCCACATTTGAGAGCATTTTATCCAAATTCGGGACACCTTTTGGTGCGGAAAATGCTTCCAAAGCAGAGACCGACA